TTATTCTCGTAATTTTACGACTTTATCACAATGTTACGACTTCGTTCTCGTAATGTTACGACTTTATTCTCGTAATTTTACGACTTTATCACAATGTTACGACTTCGTTCTCGTAATGTTACGACTTTATTCTCGTAATTTTACGACTTTATTCTTGTAGTGAGACGACTTTATTCTCGAAATAGAAGAAAACAAATCTCTAGCATGGCCCTAACACTGCATTGTACAACCCTTGGCAAAATTAGATTTTGGGGCCCTCAATAGGGCAATCTCTCGCTGTGTTATTTGTCCGATGATCAGATCATTTAAACGCGTACTATAAAATCCTTGCAGCTCTGGTAGATGCATAGATCTTCTGCATCATCAAGTGTTAATAAAAGTAATAAAATTAACCAGTGTGCAGTTTATTTACAATAGATGCTGCATGGTTTATATCTTTGGGTTGCAACTATGGAGTAAAGTTGTTTTTTTATTATTGTTGGAAGTGAAGAAAATGAATACAAAAAAGAGAACTTAGATAAAATGCAATCTAAAAATCTAAAAATGAAGCTTCGAAAAACATCTTGATTAAAAAAGCTTTGAAATTAAATTGGCTGTTTTCTCAGGTTATATTTTTCAAATTTAATTATTCAAACGTTATTCTACATTTTTTTATAGATTTAATTTTTTCACATTTACTTTTTTTTTCAAATTTCTCTATCAGATTTAGTTTTGCGCACTTTCCAATTTGAATTTCAGATTATTTTCTCATTACTTCAGTCCCAATCAAACACTCACTCTTGACCCAAAAGACCTGAGGAGCTAAAATTATGAATAAAAGTTCTAAATAAACTCTTTCAATTTACAAAAGCTGTTTTTTTTTCTTTCAAATTTTCATTTACAAAACATGTTATTTGCTTTCTGTAATGGCACAAAATTCCCTCCATAGGAGCGTTGATAATAATACATAATAAAAATAAAGAATGTGTTGCTCTCAGGAGCTCAGTGAAATCCAGCCTGGAACTCTGATGAGAGGTCACCTGGGCAACAAATCTATAATCTAATCTAATATCTGCTCTTCATGTACAACTTTCACCAGTTTGTTCCAGAGTTTTTATTCCCACTGTATGTTTGTGTGTCCCTTTAGAAGCTCACCAAAAAAACTAACTCCTCATACAAGAAAAACCATTACCTACTAATAAACATTAGTAGGTAATGGTTACCTAACTATTAAACATTACTCAGGGGCAGATTTAGGAAATTTGGGGCCCTAGGCAAAGACAGGCAGGGGGCCCTCTGAATGGAGAAGACANAGTTTTCTATCTAAGGAAAACCAGCTGATTGCATCGACTCATTGACTCTTCAGCAATCCCTCACACTAAGCATGCTTGTAGCGACAGTAGAGAGGAAAAACTCCCTTTGAACAGGAAGAAACCTCCAGCAGAACCAGGCTCAGTGTGAGCTTCCATCTGCCGCTATATTTTTCTAAGTAAGCAAAAATGTATTTCTTAAAAGCAATGAATTTGCATCCTTTTCTTTAACGTAAAATCAGCTTAATGCAGCTAAAAAGTTTTCTGAGAAGAGTCCCTTAGAGCTAAAGCCTCTCCCGTCTGATCAGACAGGAAATAACGGCACAGACCAAAGTAGGACTCCTTTCAAACATGAAATTACCACACAGAGGCTGTAATAAGCTCACACCTGCAGCAGGGCCGGCCCTCACACCCCCATCCTGCACACTTTGATCTGAAAGGACAGGAAGCCACAGACTGTGTGTGTGTGTGTGTGTGTGTGTGGCGGGGGGTGGGGGGTTGTGTGTGTGTGTTTGGGGGTGGGGTTGCAAGAAGGAATGTTTCAGCAGAGTAAACAGTGTGAAGCTTCCTGTAGAAAACACTTCAAAGCCCCGGAGAGGAAACCAGGATAACGCACACACCAACACACATCAAAGGCAGGTAGGAATCATCTATCAACAGGAGAAAACTGAAACGGCTGCATCCAGACGCACACAGTCCCACAGACCATCAGACACAACAGACCCTGGCTCTCAATGCAGCCGCCTGATTATTCAGGACTGGATCTGTGATCATGAGCCTCCGCAGAGCTGCTGCTCCTCTTTACCAACACAGGAAGACAGGAAGAAGACTTCACATCTGGATGCTGGTGAAGATTCTCAGTCATCCAGGTCATAGTCATTCCAAAACAGTTTAAAAAACAATCCACTGGACTTTGTTTCCAAGTTTAAAGACGTTTCTCTTCCATCTAGGGAACTTTTTAAAAAAGTCAGAAATAGCGTTGAGTTTGAGGCTATTCCTATAAACCTGGAACTCAGCTCTATTCCTGACATTTTAAATTGAAAAAGTGTCCTGGATGGGAGGAGAAACGTCTTCAAACTTGGAAACAAAGTCCAGTGGATTGTTTTTTAACTTTTTTGGGATTCACATCTGGATGTTTTTAGCTGGATTGCTTGTTTGAGGAGAATGATTCGATGGCGCCTGCAGCACAGGGTGGCAAAGCATAGGACAGCTTTCTCAAACACATCTTCTTATACATAAAAAAAAACTCCAAATCTGACAAACGTCCCAGAAATCCCAATGAATCTCATCTAATCATGAAAGAAATCCACTGAAAAATGGTTTAAAATCTGTTTAAATGAAGACAGTGTTGGGTTGGAGACGATCAGGCTGTAGACTCCTCCTTAAGAAGAGCTGCAGTCATATGGAGCCAAACTGGGGCCAGAAAGTTTGTTAGAAGACATTCATTTTAAACAGGAAATTATTTAGAAACTGAAAAAAAAAAAATTAGAATTATAAAATTAAAGATCTGAAACTAGAAATATTTTCTGAAGCTGAAAATAAAATAAGATTTGAAACTTAAAAATAATGTTTAAAATGCTATTTAGATTCAAGTGTGGTTCTTTTCTGTTTTTCTAGTTCTGTTTGCCCCTCAGTGTGGGAGGCGGAGTTTAAATGACACGGTTTTATTTTTTTTTAAACAATCATATAAACATAGTTTGGCTATATTTAAAGACATTTTTAGTTCCCATTGTTCCTGAATGCAAAAGCTGGGAGTATTTAAATTAGCAGCTTAAGCTGACAGTCATCACTTCACACCCCACATCATCCACCCCCCCACCGAGGGGGCAGCTGCTTGTTTAAAAAAATGTATTTTGTTCACTTTTAAATCCTTTTTTTGTCCCGTTATTTTTTTTCCTTTTTTTTCTGCAGTTTCAAATGATTTTATTTCAGAAAGATTTGTGGCCCTAATTTAGCTCCATATACCTGATCACT